CCGCTCATTGGCTTCTCTCCTGTGAGAATGTTCTGATCCCCAGCGGAGCCTGAGCATGTGCGAAGCCCTTCCCACGTTCACAAGGTGCTTCTCCAGGGTTCCATTACATCTCACCTATGCACACTGCGTGCATACGGTTTCCACCAGCTGTGCGTGTCCCCGGAAGTCATATTCACGGCGCTTCTCTCTGGGAGGAATTCTCCCATGCATGGCTGCTCTGAGCTCTGGGACAGTTTGCACCTGTGGCCACGCGTGGGCTCCTGGAGACTTACAAACCAGGCTGGACTCCTGAAGCCCTGGCTGCACTTGACCACTGCCAGGTTTTTCTACAAAATCTCATCTCAGCCATCTGAGCCCTTTAGCATTTATCTTATGAATCCGCTCGAACGTACAAGGCCTCTCTGCCCTCCTGCTCCAGGCAGGAGGTTTTGACCCTCAGCTCCACCTCTGTGGCTGGCCTGGTCTCCGCAAACCTTTTTCTGCTTGGCCAGCTGGAGCCATGCTAGGCTTTCCCACTAGGGGCGCCAGAGAAAGCGCTCGAGGCTGGGGAGGAGGGGGGGCACACTCCTTCCGGTTTGCTTCCGGTTTTTCCTCAGACTTCCGGTCTGTTTGCTTCCCTGGTTGCTTGTCTTGCGAACTCTGTTGCTTCGCCCTGGCGGGAGCATTTCCCTCCGCGGCTGCTAAAACCGGGGAGCGGGTTCCCAACTTCGCAGAAGCAGCTTCATCACCCCCCCGCTGGAGGACCTCAGACCGCAGCCAGCGACGCCCCGCCTAGGGGGTCTGCCCCACTCTCGGGGCCAGATCAGGGACCAGAGACCTGCGAAGCCCTCTCCTTAGGGGTTTAGTTCCCAGGCTTTCTGATCCCAATAATTCCACACTCTTTTGTGTTCACAACCCTAGTGTAGCAGCTGCTCTCTGCAGTTTTTGCTTCTGAGATACTTAAGAGATCTCTTTTCAGCTCCTTTGGTAGCCACTTGGTACATAGTAATTCATGATGCGAAATCCTCTCTGTTGAAATGACTGGCGAGGCCTCTGTCTTCTGACTGAACCCTGACTTCCATGCTCTTTCCACCCTCACCCAAGTACGTGCCCAGTCCCCAATCTGTGGTGCTCCAGGCATTGCCTCTGTGGCGCTGTGTCCCCTCCTTTGAACTCTGATCCTTCTGCTCAGGCCCTTTCTCCCAGTCTGAAATAAGGAGCGAATAAATGTGAGTTGCTCTAGACATCTGGAAAAGAGAACCCTGAGGCAGTAACAAGTCGTTAATTGCGTGCACATTTGTCCACAGCTCACCATGAGTCAGACTCTGTGCTGGGTGCTGGGATGAAGCAGTGACTGACACAGGTCTGGACCTGTCCTTGTGAAGAGTGCGTCTGTGACACACACTGTGCCATGTGGCAAAGTAAGCACGTGGGACAGCAGAGCCTTGTTTGCGATTAAAGTAATATCACAAGTCTGTTAAGCTTGGAAAATCAAGTGAACATGCTGAAAAGTTACGGGGAAGGTAGTCTCTTAGCTGGGGGCACTGGGAGCCTTGTCAGTTGGTTCCCCCAGTCTGGAGAGCAATCTGAGAGCAAGTAGTGGCACTGTGTGTGCTGAGTGTGTCTGTGGGGGTATTTTTGGATAAAATTAACATTTGAATTTGTGAACTGAGTGACGCAGAGTGCCCTTCATAATGTGGGTGGGCCTCATTCAATGAGTTCAAGGCCCGCATGGGAATCTCCTCCTGCCTGACTGAACCAGGACCTAGGTCTTTTCCTGCCTTCAGACTTGAATGGAAACATCAGCTCTTTGTGCGTCTCAAGCCTGCTGGCTTTCAGACGGGGACTCACACCATCAGCTCCTCTGCTTGACAGCTGCAGGTCTTGGGACTGCCCAGCCCCCATAACCCTGTGAGTGCATTCCTGATAATAATCCTCTTTCTCTTGCCCTCCCCCACCCCACACCATTGGTTCTGTTTCTCTGGAGAACCCTAACGCATCATTTACTAATCAGGAAACAGATTCAGAGATTAATAACTCATCCAACCTCACAGTTAACTGTAGAATTGGGCTTGAAATTCCAAGGTCGACTTCCTTAGCCAATACACCATGCTACATATATGTATGTAAAAATAAAAAGCCTTGTGAACTGAAAAGGGTCCAAACTTAAGCTCATTTTGGTCCTTTATTTGCTAATCCATGGGCATGCACACCTGCCCCCAAGGCCACGATTAGGTCAGCACTTGGCTCTCCGCTTGTCTGGGGCCACAGGAAGCTGCCTCAGAAGACCTCTCCCTGCGGGTCCAGTGCTTTAGGGTTCAGAGCCCCTCCAGGGCCTTTAGTTCCTTCTGGGCTCAAAAACAGATACTGTGCCAGATACAGATGATCATTTCCTGGGTTCCAAAACTCACATGCACCCCTTTTCCTGGTCCCTCACAATTTCTGTGACCAACCCAGGCCTCAGGTGGTCCTCTGCTAAGACTATCCACTCACACTGTCGACAGAGCCCTTCCAGGAGCTCTTTTTATGGGGATCTGCTGCGTGCCTGGCACTGTGCAGAGAACCCCACCCATGCCGTCCTTCCAACCACCATGTGTGGTGCCGACCCGGCTGGGCTTCCTCCATTGTCAGAGGCAGAAACGAGCTCCGTGAGGAAAGGTAAGTGTGGGGTATGGAATCAGGGCTGGCGGATCCCAAACCTGGGCTCCCAGATACCATCGGGTCTTTAGGAAGATCCCCGGTCACTTCGGGGAGGAGGGAGAGGGCGAAGGCTGAGAATCGAGGTCCTGGGTCGGAGGAGGGAGAGGAGTGGTGGTGTGGGTTTGGAGGTGGTGTGGGTTGGAGATTGGCCGTTGAGCTGGAGATGCTCCCGGTGGTCTGTGTCCAGGTTCCTCTGGGGGCAGAGCTGGTAGGGGTGGGACAGGGCTCCGAACCAGCCCCGGGGGCGGCCGCCCGGACAAGCGGCTCGAGTGATGCAAATCGAAGGAGGATGGGGAGGGCCGTGACCAAGAGGCCGAGCACAGCTCAGGGTCGCAGGCGTCCCAGGAGGGCTCAGGAATATTGTGTCCTGTTCAACTACACGCTGATACACCCGGCAGCCACCACAAGGTAGAAAAATGCCCTTAAAAGTCCTGCCGGGCCGCTCTGGGGTTCCCGGGAAATGTCGAGTGGATCAGATGGCACGTTCGAGAATCAGCCCCGTGCCCGCGGGCTTGGAGAAGGAGCTGAGGACACTGGGAAAGACGCAAATGCCATTTCAGCCCATCTCGCGGGCCCTGCCCAACGAGGGGGTACACAGAGACCTTGCAGAGGGTTTACGACCCGGCGCGGAGGAGCAGCCCTGACGGACTCGCCGCGCCGCACTCCCTTCCCCCGGGAAGCCTCCCGTGAGCTGGCGCTGCTCGAGTCTCGTGCGGGCTGCGGAGAGTGCGCCCGGCCCCGCCCCCTCCCCGCCCCTCCCGGCGCCGCGGCCACTTCCGGGACTGTCTAGGACGGCGTGGAGGACCGCCGGGCTCTCTCTGGTCGCAGCGAGCGGGGGTCCAGCGGGGGAGTCGGGGGCGCGCGGGGCGGTCCCTGCAAAGCCAGCCCCTCGGCCTGGCTGCCCACGCGTGTTACTGAACAAGCAGAATGCAGGCGTTCTCACCCTTACCTTTCAGGCCGACAGTCTGAACCCAAGGGCCACCGCACACCAGCACGGACGCCTCAAGTAGGCTCCTGCCTCCCAGCTGACTTCGGACAGACACACTGACCTCCAGCCCGCACCCCTAAACTCGTTCTCACCTGGCGGAGTGGGGCGTCCACAGGGCCCCCAGGGCATGGCCTGGAGAGGGAGGCGGGGGCTGGCGGAGCCTGGGGCCGCCTTCCCCAAGGGGTGGCACAGGGCCCTGTGCTGCGGGCTCCCAGTCCGGGCAGCCGCGTTCCCCGGGCTTCAGAACTGGAAACGAGGTCCCGCTGTCTCAGCAGGGGTCTGGGTGGATGGCTGGTCAGGGAGCTCGGATTCATCTGGTGCCGTCACTGATCGTGTGACCTCGAGCAAGCCACGGGTCACCTCGGAGCCTCCGGGTTCTCCGGAAAAATGGCTTGCTGGGGCTGACATCAGATGCGCACTGCGCAGGCCTCCGCACGCACCGCCAAAAAGCGGGGACGGTAGCCTTCGTCTTCGACAGGACAGTGACCTCACAGGCCCGCCACAGACACATGTGGGGACGAGGCCCAGGGTTCTGGACGAGTCACAGCAGGAGGGGAGGTAAGACCTGGAGAGGGGGAGCCTCGGAGGAGCCAGGCTGGACTCCGGGGTCTGCCAGCTGTACCGGAGGGCACAGACAGGGCAGGGAGAAGGCGCTGGCAGAATCACTGGCACTCAGCACTTGAGGCCACCCCCAGCTGAGCTCTCAGAACTTCGTGGCCCAGACTCCCCTGCCCAGAAGCAGTGTCCCGGCAGCTCTGAAAAGGGCCTGGCAGGCCCAGCTGTACCAGCCCACACCTGTCAAGACCTGAACACCCTGGGCCCCCCCATCCCAGGGCAACGGGCTGATGCAGGGGAGGCCCGGGCCACTGCTGCCCAGCAGGCTCTCCGCTGAATGGAGGCAGGGGGAGGAGGCAGTAGAGCTGAGAGGGCACGGGGGGACGAGTCTGCTGCATTGGACAGAAACAGAGGCTTCCCAAATACGTAAGGGAACCGAATTCCTGGAGACCCCTCGCCCAGGTGGCAGGCAGCCTGGCCAGGCCTGTGGGCACTTCTAGACCGGCCCTGTCCTCACCACCTGCTCTGGGCGCGCCCCCCGCGTTGATGGTGGGGTATCAGCGTCAGAAAGGCCTACTTCCGGGCTCTGGGCAAGTCAGGACACCTCCAGGCCTCAGATCCTCCCCTAGGACACTCGGGCCGCCCGCCAGGCTCCAGGGACCCCGTGGCCCTGCGTGGCAGGTCTTGGTGAAGCAGCCCCGTCAACCCCATCCTGCAGCGGGTCCTCGGGGATGGGAAGCTGCCCCAAGGCCTCACCCAGGCAGGTGCCGGCTCCCACTTCCAACAATCAAAAAGAATTTATTCCGGACACATGGCATGCGGTGCTGGGCAATGCCCACTGTGGGGGCAGGCAGGAGGCCTCGCCCCGAGCCCCCGCCGGGCTACTCGCGGTAGTGCACCCGCTGGTGCTGGATGAGCTGGGAGCTCTGGCCGAAGGCCTTGCCGCAGGCGCCGCACGCGAAGGGCTTCTCGCCCGTGTGGGTCCGCAGGTGCCGAAAGAAGTGCGAGCGGCCGCGGAAGGCCTTGCCGCAGTCGGCGCACTCGTAGGGCTTCTCGCCAGTGTGGATGCGCTGGTGCTCGATGAGCACGGAGCTCCAGATAAAGGCCTTGCCGCACTGGCTGCAGGCGTAGGGCTTCTCGCCCGTGTGCAGCCGCTGGTGGCGCACCAGGTTGGAGCTCTGGCTGAAGGCCTGGCCGCACTCGCCGCACTTGTAGGGCTTCTCGCCGTTGTGGATGCGCAGGTGCTGCGTGAAGTGCGAGCTGTGGCTGAAGGCGCGGCCGCACTGGCCGCACTCGTAGGGCTTCTCGCCCGTGTGGATGCGGTGGTGCTGGATGAAGCCTGACCAGCCGCGGAAGCGCTTGCCGCACTCGTGGCAGGCGTAGGGCTTCTCGCCCGTGTGGATGCGCTGGTGCTTCAGCAGCAGCGAGTTGTACTTGAAGCTCTTGCCGCAGGACTCGCACCTGTGCGGCTTGGCCCCCCGCGCGCTGCCCTGCCGGCTCCGACTGAAGTTGACTCCCAGCTCGGCGGCTCGCT